AAAGTGTACTGTTTTCAGACAACAAATGAATTATCTCAAGTATTACCAGTGAACACAAATAAAATTAACAGTAAACCAAATATAGTTGCAATAAACTCCTTACTTAATGAGAAAGAAGAGCAGGGTAACTTTGTTCCATTATAGGGAGAAAATAAATTGTAGTGTTAAGAAAGCATTTGTATTTTATGTGAGATCTATCCCAAGTCTACGCATAAAACCAGCAAACTGAAATAGTTTCGTACCCACAGTACATCTCCAGGATGCCCACAGTTCTTGAATCATTGTAGAGTTCCACTCATTTCAAACTGACCCAGGACTGCACTTAGTCTGTATTCTCCCTATAGCAATTTGAAAATAGTAACAACAGCTTTACAACACAAATCAATAGAGCATAAAGAAACATTATATTACATTTCAAGAAAAAAAAATTATTTATTTTTAGTTCAGTGATGGATAGGCAGCTCCTCATCTAATATTTTCTGCTTTTTTGTCTTTACTAGGAAAAGGCTGACTTGATTCCAAAGTCTGCTCAGTCAGTCTGGATTTACAGTGGTAAATTTCTGAGAAGAGTTTGTCCCTGAGCACTAACATTCCTATTTTTACTTTCCAACAGAGCATCAATCAGAATACATAAGGATGAGTAAACTGAAATTGGAAATAAAGACTCAATAATGACAAAACAAATTAAAAGAAAACTGTCAAATTCCTCTCCATTCAGAAAAGCAGTGCACACATTATCAAACCATGAATACTTAATTCTTAGTTCTCAAGATTTTCTTTAGAAAGAAATTATATGGAATGTATATGTAGGCCTTTTTCAGCTAATGCTGTGGGTTTGCTGTTACACTTCAACTGGAAGCGAAAAAAAATCCATATCAAGTCCCAATTTTCTAGTCCATATCACATTCTGATTCTCATTCACTGCTATTATAATGCATGTTAAATCCTACACAACAGGGAATGTTTGATCTAGATATAATAAAATTCTGTTCCTGCTCTTCTCCCTTGCCATGGAGATTTTTATGAGGCTTTGTAAACCATTTTTACTACAAAATATAAAGTTGGAAGTTAAACTATCTAAAGACAGCTTTTCAACTTTCAGTTGTAAAACTATATATACTATGAAATAGTAGATGGATGGATATTTTTGTTTTTGCTAAGGACAAACTAACTTTTCTTTCCTCTGAGAAACTGTGTAATTGGAAATGATAAATAAGAAAGGAGCAGAATCAAAACAAATACCCCCAGCATTATGTAAGTGATCCTATAAACACTTTGTGTTGAAGAA